AATTCTTGAATGGTTCTACTATACCTAGGTATTCATCGGAAAAGTTCGAGGGAGTTCCGTATACTTTTGTATCCTGCCTGCCATATCATAATCCCCGGAACATGGCGAAGATCATCTTCAAAAACTTTTGCGCAATTCGCAACACACAATATCACACACACACACACACAACAAAAAGCTCTTAGCGCAAAGGAGGGAGAGGGTTCGCTGGCGCTCGAGGTCAACAAACGAAACAAGGAAGACTCCTGTCATGCGACGATGGTGAAGATGAAAGTCGGGAAAGTCGGTCTGAGATTGACGGTAAGGAAACCTTGAGGGGGGAGGGTTGGCTGGCTGGGCGGGCAGGCGAGGCGAGGCGAGGCGAGGCGAGGCGGGCTAGAAACAATTGAAACAGGGGCAGTTGATATAAGTAAGCGAGAGGCTTCTGCGACGGGGTCCGGCCTGCAACGTCCATTAACACGTAGATGCGACGTGGAAGATGCGACGTCATGATCTCCGGATTTTGCGGCCATGGCATGGATCTGGTCTGCTATGCTTTGCTATGGTGTGGACATGGAGGAGTTTATTAGACGCCGGGAGCTGATGCGCCCGTGAACGATGTGGTGTTATTTGTTGTTGTTGTTGTTGATGTCGATGTTGATGTTGATGCTGGGGTAGATCAAGAAGTTAATTCGTTGCGTGTGGTGGAGATACTGTCTTGTCTGTACCTGCAGTCGCGAATACGTCATGTCGTTCATGCAAACATGACTGATGATAGTAGATTTGCATTTTACGATCGGATATGCATAGTTGATGTCTGAATCATTCTACGGAAGATGTCATACTATGAATATCGGAGTCCTCGTGCAGGCAGGTAAAGCTTTTAATACACGTGCTTGGATAGGTAGGTACCTGTAGTAGTTGATTGGCGACGCTGAGAAGAGCATGTCTTTTTTTCTCAGTTCACGGAATGAGAGCTCAGCCGGATACACCGGCCATCCATCTTCCCAAGAGCTTGACACGAGTTTAAGAACGGCCCGGTCACGATGACCTCCGTAGGCCTTGACACTCTAACAGAGCTGTTTGACCTTGAACCTTAGCACGTTGGGAACTTTCGTAGAGATTACTTACAGATAAGCCTTCTACTAGTAGATAGTGGACATACAGAAATTTCACTATCTTGCGAGGGAAAGCTTTACACCTTCTGTTATCACATGTGAAGAGTTCCGAGATCGATTCGCCTGACACGGCAAATAGAGCCTTGATTGGCAGCGAAGATGGAGCGAGCAGACCTCATTCCGGGGATATGACATTACTCTTCAACTAGTTTCCAAGTCCATGAATGACAGGAGGAGGTATTAGGGCAGTTGCTAGTCGACGGGTTTTGTGCAGCGTTTTCTTAGTTGTTTTGGTATGCGGATATGTCGTTCTATTTAGTGTAGTAGTGCAGTAGAAGTGAGTAGGAAAAAAGAAGAGGTGGCCTGATTGTTGTAAAACTGCTACCTTTGAATGCTATGTTGCTCTTGTGATGTGAAAGGTTACTAGATTGAGGCTTATGGACATCATGTACGGTGAAGAGACTCAGAAATGGGTTGTTATGGAATTTCTTTTCTAAAAAGGTTTTGGGACTTCAGGTATAGCTATCCCCAGATCCATACGAGCGTGTCCCAGATTGATTTTGCGACTGTGGATTTGGAAGTTGGAGAAGTCGCAAAATAGTCGCGAGACTTAAAACCGTGTGAGATATGCGCTGCATCCGCCGATGCTACAATAGGCTGGGGTGGAAACCTGTTTACATCGAGCTACAAGCGTATTCTAAATTATAAAGTCCATCCCGTTGACAAAGCTTGGAGATGAATGAATATCATTACCGCGGGAAGTCTACGTCCATTTGTATGTATATATCCGAAGACGGCTTGTTCATATTTGTATCTGAAGTATATGAAAGACAGACCAACTGACACACGCCGAAAACGAATAAGTAGATTCTCTGTTCCCTACCGTATTATCTTCAATTTAGTAGAGTAGGTTGTATCGTGAGGGATGCTGGATGAATTGGTCAGAAGTGATGGTATTGACAAGGCTGCAACGAAGATGGATTGTAGGTAGACGGGTGTGTATTGGAGATTTGGTTATGAATTGAGGGAAGATGACGCATTGAGTACGACAAGTATCTGCCAGGTGATAATAATGGTCGTGACGAGTTCAAGAAAGCTATAATTTCAACTTGCGATACAGTGAACCAAGATTCCCAGGCGAGTTAATGCCGCCTCACCTAGATGCCACCTCCGAGATCGCATAGTATGAGCCTCGCTGCCAGATTTTGAAGCTCGCCATGCTATGAAGGAACTAATGCAAGCTTTTTTCCTCAAAAAGGTGTGCTTGCTTGCTTGCTTGCTTGCTGGAATTGAGCACAGTGCCAGATTGGGTATTGCTGCTTGCCGAGGAGTGGTCAAAGTCAGGAGTGGCAATTAAACGATTGTCGATTTACTCCATATTGATCTCGAAGCCGATGATACTCCTTCAACGACATTATAATCTTCAGTTCGTGTGGCATCCCTAAACAGACGTGTTGTTGTCGAAAATCATTAGAAGCGAAGGCTTTCAATTCAGCCACTCCTACTAGCGCACCAGCCTCCCCCGCCACAAAAAAAAAGAGCTCCAACGTTAACTCGGAGCTGCCAAAATAATTCTCTCGAAGCAACTCGATGCGCCAACCTGCATCTCACCAGCACAACCCACCACACTGCACCCAACACCTCAAACCTCTCCTCAAGATGGGCAAAGGCAAAGGAAAAGCCGGTCGCAAAGAAGCGAAACTCATCGTCAAAAAGCTAAATCAAGAACCTAAAATCCCTGGCTTGCCCAAACCAGCGCGCCCCGAGAAAAAAGCGAAGAAGATCCCGTCGCGCGAGAAGAAGAGCGCTATGCATTCCAATCCCCCTGGACCTGCGAACTTTCCTCTACCCATGGGAAGACCGAAGCCGTTTACGAAGAGTCCGCAGCATGCGAAATGGCCGGCGATGTTTAAGAAGCATTTGGGGGTCATTGAGGCGCATATTAGGAGTTTGGATAGAGTTATGCAGAGTATGAAGAGTGAGATGACGGATTTGCCTGAGAAGGAGAGACTTGAGTTTGAGCTTGGTGAGAGGGGCAATTGGAGAGTTATTTGTGGCATGATGGATAGAGCAAGGGAGGTTCTGACGAGTGCGAGAATTGCGGCGAGGGGAATCGTGAGTTTGTCTTTCAATATGGGAGAGAGCGATTCTAATAGGATGTATAGGTACCATCGCGACATCTACAAGATAAGAAAGGGCTTGGTGTTTTAGGCACGAATTTCGAACCATTGGGACCAAAATTAGAACAGAAAGCCGCAGAGATCGGGTTTGATCCAGTTGGAAAAGGCAAGCTGGGCCGAAACCCGGAGGATGTCGATGAGGATGGAGATAGCGAGATGACCGACGATTCGGATGATTCATCAGAGGCAGAAGGGAGTGACAAGGACGGAGTGGCAGACAATTCGGACTTCGTCAAGCTCGACGTCGGCTCGAAAATCCCACGATTCGAGTCTCTGGCAAACGACAATAAGGCCGCAGTACAAGACACCACCTCCACAGTCGAATCGAACCCATACTTCGTCGTCGATGTTGAACCCACACCCGTCAATATTGGCGGGCCAGAACCCGAGAAGAAGAGTCGCAAGCAACAGAAAGCAGAAGCACTCGAAGCCAGGAAAGCTGCACGCTTGGCAAAGAAGCTAGCCCATGAGGCAGCAAAACTTGCGCCGCCCAAAGAACCTACTCCACAACCCGAAGCCGCTCCGGAACCTCAGCCAGAACCCCAACCAGAACCAGACTTTGATTACGCGGAACTGGAAGCAAATCTACAAGCAGAGATCGCGGCAGGCACGAAAGCGCAAGAAGAGGCAGAGGAGAAGAAGTCGAAGAAGAAGCGCAGGCGGAGCAGCGGCGTTGATGAGGATGTTGTGGAGAAGAAGGCTAAGGTCGAGAAGAAAGAGAAGAAGCGAAAGGCCGAGGCCGAGGAAAACGGTGGTAGTGTGGATGCTGCAGATGTAAAGAAAGTCAAGAAGGAGAAGAAGGAGAAGAAAGAAAAGAAGCGGAAGGCGGAGGAAAGTGCTGATACCGAAGAGGCTGAAGAGGGAACCAAGAAGAAGAGGAGACACAAGGACCACGCTTAGATGGTTAAGTGTGCTGAGTGCTGGTAGAGATGCTTGCTTTATGATACCATAGTCTCTTTTCGTTTGTTACTTGATAGCTGGATAGCTGGATTGAGGTCGGTGCATTGAATAGCTTTGGAGTATATAGGATAAATTCGTTGAACCAAGACAATGATCTTTTGTCTGACTTCTATATATAACTAAGCACCTTTGCATGCCCGAGAATTCATCAATAAATATATTTGACTCCGGATCCCTTATTTATGCCCATATTTGACGTTACTCTCAGTTTTCCCAGATAGCTGCGATGTGACTGGGCGGGCTAGGTTAAGGTAAGCAGCTAAAAGAACAAACTTGAATGTGATCACTTGGCAAAAGTCCATTATAAAAGAAGCCATTTTTTCCACGAATCTGTGTGACTTCAAGTTACTCGTACCCTTTATCTGTTTAAATTCAACTAAGAAATTCTTCTTGAAAATTCCAAAGCCTGATAAACTTTTCTCTTGATGCTAAACAGTTAGCTGTCTGACGTCCTTTATTATAGCATCCATCCGTTTGCGTGATTTCCTTTTGGTACCTAGATGTATAAATAATAGTCTAGTAATTTGAAGACTGTATTAATAGTAAGTAAAGGAAGTAAAGGAAAGATTATGTATCTTACAGAAAGAACGAGCTCAGCAGGGAGAATATACAAAATATCCTGACGATTCCTTGTCTCAATCTGAATGAAGTCTTTATGGCGGTTCGAACGAAGTGACTAAAATTCGTATAGCAAGCAAAAAGAGTCGCGATGCAAAGCGTGAACGGGAGAGAATACAGGACGGGCAAAAATTTAGTACTAGTGCGACAACGGCAGGATTTGAACCTACGCGGCCGAAACCATATGATATCTATATTCTCTGCATGCAGAGGTTTTCGAGTCATACCCATTAACCACTCTGGCACGTTGTCTTATAAAATGATGACAAATGGACTCTTACATCATATATTATATGAATCTCGAACCGGCTCGCTTCCGAGAGAAAAGAGAGCTTATGCTTGTTTTGTGCTCTGGGGCGGACAAACTTCGGATGATTATACGTTTTCCAGGATCGATGATGATAATACTTGCAACAAAGTGACAGTCGATCACTTTACGCTTCGCAGTTTACGTACTTGCGCGAATACAGCAGCTCTCACAATCCACAGAGCCGCTTTATAATCGAAATGCAGATGCAATAGCTGCATCAAATCCAAGCACGCAGCAAACACCTTATTCGCCAATTACTCGACCTTCATAAACTAGTACAATCAATCATGTCTACAACCACAACATCTCTCCCGCCCTCTCGCACACTCAGCTCCCGCGATGAACTCTACCGTAACGTCGCGCTCGGCGCCGTCATAGTCTGCCCAATAATCATCCTCATCCCGCCCCGGAAAGTCGACATCTACACCGTCGCTCTCACAGCCGGATTCTTCGCCGGCGGCAACCATCTCTCGGCCCATTACACAGGGGCGAGCATAGTGCAGAGATTCGCTAGCAGGGTGGAGAGTTTAGGGAGTCAATCGTTACCACCGAAAGCCGTGGAGACGCAGCGGCGGTTGAAGGAAGAGAGGGAGCGCAGGGATGCTGGGACACTGGAGGGTAGAATTGGAGTTGGGAAGATTGAGGGTGCTGGGAGGGAGAAGGTGGATGGCGTACTGGCGGAGTTGAGGGCGAAAGAGGCAGAGAATAAGGAGAGGGGCTTGCTGGAGAAGGTGTGGATGGGKGGGGAGGGCAAGGATTGGAAAGCGAAGAGGGATGCGAAGGAGAAGGAGGCGTTGGATGAGGGGAGGGGATACGGTGGGCTGATCATGGATCAGTTCTGGGAGGTGTGGAGTTGGGGGAAGGATAAGGTGGAGGAGGTTAAGGAGATTGATGAGAAGGTTGTGGAAGAGAGGAAGGAGGGCAAGAAATAAATGGTATGAGTTGCGATATATGGAATACTGTCTATGACACCAGGGTCTTCAAGGCATCCGAGAATTGGGAATGCTTGAGACGCCAGGGGAGCTATGGGTGTTTGGAATATCTCAATCCGCGAAGTCTTGAGGAAAAATTGACTTATTGTCCCACAAGAGCTGCGACTGGACGACGACCGGCCTGCGACAACGGGAAGGGAGGAGTATTTGTGCAGGATGTGGTGATGAAATGTATTATTATTGTACAACACCAAAGAGAGATATCTAGGGAGGACGGGGCCGGATGAATTGTCGACTCTGCAGCACAAATGTACAAACCATTCTCACTTCAAAGTTATACGCCTGAAGCATGACTGGATGATACGTGCTTGACAGGAACAAGCTGTCTTCTCTACCAACGTTCGCAAACGTCTATCAAATTAACACCGCAAAGCTCATAGTTTGTCAAACGTGAATAACCCCTGTTTTAATATCCTACCCTGCTTTCATAAACAATAAGTCGATCATAGATAGCATCTTTCATGATTCCATGCGTTCTTCGTTGGGGTCGCAAATTCTGCTAATGCAAACAAGAGACAATACCAGCAATCATTTCTATTGCGTTTGCTGGGCCATTTCCGAGAAGAACGCGGCTGTGGCGAGGAACAAGCGCCGGTACGCGAGGTCGTTGGACTATATATTAAAGTCCATCCCGTACTCAATTGTCTTATCTATAGCTACTTCACTATCCTGGATATATTTTTGAAAATCGTCCATTTAAAGGTATAGTTCACTCGTACAGAATTACTACTCAGTAAACGTCGTAATCTCAAATACACTGGATCCTATAATATCACGAAGTGCTTCGCGAAACCGATCAACCTCATTTCAACGCATGTCACCATGCTAAGGATCCCACTTGGATGAGGGCGAGCTACTATTCTTTTCTTGTTAGCCCATACTGAAGCATGGCAACAGTTACAAATTACATCAAGGCAGAATCTGAGATCCACCTTAATCTTGTCTTGCCGGCAATGTACACCGAAAATGAAATTGACACTTGTTTTTATGCTAGGAGATGAGGAGATTCCAAGACTATCCATGTGAAATCAAAGTCTCCAGGAGAGGAAGACTTTATGGTAAATGCCATGATTTACTCAATCTGGCTGCCACGGCAATTGGCATAACATTTTTGCAAGCTTGACTGCTCGGTCGAGCATTCGCATCGACCTCTCCTATTGAAAATCATCTGCTGGCGATAAGTCTATGATTTTTCTGGTCTTCCAATGTCTGGAGAAGTACTCTCTTCAGTAGTACTATTGTTTTGATCGTGAAAATCGATTCCAAATAGTCTTGTTTCTTCCTTCATAAAGCTCTTCTTCTCTTTATATTTTCAGCGATTATCGCTCCCTGATTTACTCTGATCATGTCCCCTCTTCATAACGCAGCATATGTGGCCTAGAAATAGAACCTTTTTGGTCAAAATAAAGCGGCTGTCGCTATCTAAAACAGTCTATAGATTCCCAAAAGGACTTTGTATATCCAGCAAGTGCATTACGAGATCTTTGAATATCTATATGTATATACTTATATATACTCACTATAGTAAACTTTCAGAGCTGGTGGCGCGCATAGAAGATCAAGTTGACTTTCTTTATATTATTTCCCTGGCGTTCAATGATTCCCCAGAATAGTTATTCACTAACGATAGCGACTACAGCGCCTCAAATCTGATAACAATCACCTACAAGCCGTCCCAAAGGGGAATCGCGAACAGCTCAACCTCCACGTGCGAGAAAGTGGTGAATTCGAGACGCGTGGGGGTGTCTGTTAATTCTCGAATGCAGTTATTCTTTAAAATTCCCTTTCAGCTTCTCGAACCTCGAAGTCAACCACAAGATCGAGGCTCTTCTTCGAAAACAACTCCTCAATTATGGAGGCCATGGCATTGCCATCAATAGCATCCGCCGTTGAATCTACATACATATTCTTTTCGCCCTTTGTTGACTTTGCAGGCAAAGCCAGGTTCAATTTCACTTCTATTTTCAGCAAGACTTACGAGTACTTGTCTGGATTTCCTTTCATTGCCTTACACTGGCTAGCCTTCCTCTCTTGGTCTTTCATATCTTCAATCATCATTTGGCTTTCCCAGGGCAGAGTACAGAAGCAGCGCTTCCTTACCTGCCTTTTCTTCGCCATTTCTGCCATCACGACTACAGGTCTGGCACCTGCCAATGTCTCCTCCCTCAATACTTTCCAGCAGATTTTGTTGTGTATCAATTTCATTCTGGGAAGTCAACCGTTCACCGGTATCGTTATCTTGACTGTTTTATCTTGACTGTTCGCAAGACAGCTATGGAAGATGCTTTTGGCGAGCTCATTGAGAAGAGTCGTGATCAGACTTTCCGAGTAGCTTCTCTCATCACACAGACTGTTATCGGTAAGTATCCCAAAGTCTCCAAAGAAATCCAAGACATCTTCTTCCCCACTTGATAATTGCTAATGACTATCTCGCAGAATCCTCCAATTCACCTGACGAAAAGAAGGCAGTTAGAACAGAAAATCCTGCTTCCAAGTTCTGGACAGACGTCGAACCACTTACTACTACACCCCTGGTCTCCTCCACTATCCGAAAAAACTACACTTGCTACCAACCTCCTGCTGTACTGGAACAATTTTCTCAACGCGGCTACTGTTGGCAGGAACTCTAATTTCCACGGCCTCACCAAATCTGAAAGAGAGACTGTCGTCTGCGTGGAGTATCGTGCGATCAAGCTGCTGCGTCTCGTCGTTACAATGTACATTGTGCTTCATCAGTTCCTGGGTGCGATTAGTCTCGCTTTACACTTTAATCTCAAGAGGTCAAATGTGATTGGCCGCGATGGTATTCATCCCATGTGAGTATTTCCTGGATGATCTTCATTCTTCTGCTTACTTTTTCGCCAGATCTCTCGGCGTCTTTAATGCTATTTCGTCCTTCAACAACGCGGGAATGAGTCTCATGAACGATTCCATGGTATCTCTTGCTTCTCACCCTGGTTTCTTGCCCAATCATTGCAGCTAACTTCCATCAAGATACCTTTCAAAATTGATGCTTTTCCTGTATTCATTATGAGCTATCTCATGCTCGCTGGCAACACTGGGTAAGATTCTCTAGCTGTCTGTTCACAGCATCAGAGCCACATCTGACAGATTCACAGATTTCCTATCTTCTTAAGGTTAATCCTCTGGGTGATGCTGAAGTCTCTGCCGCACAGCCCACGTTTCCTCCAGACCCGGGCCACGCTCGAGTACACTCTCAAATATCCACGCCGAGTGTACACGCATCTGTTCCCCAAAAGAGAGACGTTGTTCCTCCTTCTCATACTGATGTGTATGAATGCTGTCGATCTCATCGCCTTCGAATTCTCCGCACGACATCTGCCAGAGGTCCAAAGTCTATCAGAAGGCTACAGAGTGTTGGATGGGATGTTCCAGAGGGTCTCTGTGAGATGCAGCGGGTTCAATATCGTGTCCATATCCGCTCTTCCCTGTGCGCTTCTGATGCTGTACATTGGTATGATGTAAGTCATCCTGTCACAATCTGCATCCATGCAGCAAACCTGACCCCGCTGCTCATTACCTTCTGCGTTTCATAAAATACCTTACACCAAGTTCTCAAATGCTAACAGCCATCTCCAGGTACGTCTCTGCCTTTCCCGTGACCATCACGATCCGCACATCAAACGTCTACGAAGAGCGCTCCCTAGGCGTATACACAGCAAGTTCCGCCTTCCAAGCCGACGACGAATCTACTCTCTCCTTCACGCATCTCACCGGCCACCGATCCCGCCTCTTCTTCATGAAGCAACAGCTCTCGTCCCAAATATCTTACGACGCATGGTCAATCATGCTTGCACTCGTGATTATCGGCTTCATCCAAGGCGGCGAACATTCCTCCTCCACCTTCCCGATCTTCCCTGTCATCTTCGAGGTTTTGTCCGCATATGCAAACATTGGCCTGAGCATGGGTGTAAACGATAAGAGCTATG